GCTTCTGGACTCTTGTTTCCTCTGTAACAACGATCTTTGCTGCTGCATCCTTTGCCTATGCCGCGAGGACTCGTTAAACGCCTCAGAATGGTTTTTGCCCCTTAATCTCATTCGAGTTTTATTAGTATCTCATTCGAGCTTTTGTACTCATACCTTGCAAATAATGTTGTTTTGGTCTCATCAACTATAACATGAAATATAATATTTTAGCTTGAGCTCTATAATTTGTGCATCTTTTGATTTTCTTTAGCCATTTGTGGACTTGTGAGTGATTGAAAGCAAGCAAGGTTGAGACTTTAGTCTTCTTATGGAAAACTTTTACAAACAAGAGGTAGAATTTCATGAAAATTCTACAAATAGGCATAAATCTAAAGTTTATAGTCCAAAGAAAAGTATAGCCACATTCTTCACAATGTTCTCTTTTGTGAAAAAATTAGCATACAATTTGTCAATTCCATATATGGTCTTAATTAAGGTGGACTCCATTTATTTGTAAATTTTATTTATTTTGTCCTTTTGAACAAAACTAATTTATTTCGTTTTTCTTGTTTCCACAAAGCTTTTAGCTGTTTCCATCATTGTACAAAGATTCCTCTACATGTCCAAACAAAAACCCTTTTAGCTTTTTGAACCACAGAATTTAAATGATTTGTTCTTGTCTATTCGTTGTGAAATTGCTAAATGACAAATAGTAAAAGTCAAAATCCTCCTCTGGTAATTCAAATGCAATGCTTATTCTGCAAATCCATAAGAGTACAGTGAACAAAGGGAGCAAAAATACAATATATGATAACTAGATTAAGGAAATACAAATCCTACATTTATCAAAATCACTACAATTTGTATAAACATACATTGCCCAAGTATAATACATTTATATATATATAGTTTTTAATTATCACTCATGCTGAAAAATCAGCTTTTAGTTAAGGGCTAAAAGCTACAAGCCAAACATTACAGACAAAAAAAAAGAAGAGAAACTATTACTACTGATTTGTTCCCTTTGCCAAGTCTCTGAACGCGCTTCGCTGTTCTTCTACTTGCCTTTCAGAATCCAGCGTTTAAAACAGTCACAAACGCTGCCGCAAAACGCCACACATTTCAAAACTAACACACAAAAACCAAACTAACCGAGATAATCCACAGGCAATAGATTCACCTGTTTGTTAGTTGAAAGATTTCTTGGCTATGTTATAAACAACCTCCCTTTTTTTCAACACCGCGATTAAACTAACCGCAAGATTCTGCGTTTACAAACGCAGAAATCTCATCCATAACGTTATGGAAATGATTGTTATTAGGCAAGAGGTAAAACCCGACGGTAGCTTTCTCTAAATGCATAAGCTTAACTTCTTGACCCGCTTTCTTGAGTCCTTCCGCGTAAGCCAACTGCCAATCTTGAATCAAATCCAAACCCGCGACAACCACCAGACTCTTCGGAAAACTCAACCCTTCTAAGCTTTTCGCTCTTGGACTAAACGGATTACACGCATGATGCTCTCTATCTTCTCCCTCAGGTAAAAAAGCTTTCCAATACCAATCTCGGTCTCTAACCGTCACAAAGTATTTCCCATCCAAACGTTTCTCAGATTCTGTTCTTTTGTTCCCACCAAACATAGGATTCAGCAGAATGTTTCCCAAAACATTGATCCCCGATTCACCTGCTTTTAAAGCCACATTATGCGCGATATTACCTCCCGAGCTATCACCCGCCAAGAAAATATGAACCTTTGAGTCTTTCTTGGATTTAAGCCAAGATCTTGAGTTAACCCAATTAAGAGCAATCCAACCATCATCATAAGCACAAGGGTAAGGATTCTCGGGTGCACGCCGATAATTCACAGAGACAACAACACATTTGCACAAACCAACAACCCTGCGACAAAGAGTATCGTAGATCGCACTGTTTGCAGAAGAATGAGCAAAGCTACCTCCATGGAAGAACAATATAACAGGGACAATCTCCCCATCAACAGGCTTCTCAAGATCTAAAACACTAGGAGGTTGCTCTTGATCTGCATAAGCTGGTCTATAGACTCTGCTTAGAAGATTGATCCTTCGATCGATCAGAACATCGAATGAGAAAACCCCATCAACCGGATTAGCGTTTGCACTGACTTTACGGTCTAGAAACTCAGCTAAGTGTCGGTTAAAGGTTCCATCGGGTCGACGAAGGAGATTGTAGGCTAATTTAAAGTTGGAGATTAGAACCCATGTATTGAGAGGAACCACTGTCTGCATCAAAACACAAAATATGCAAATCAAAAGAATCGATCAGAAACCCCCAAATAAAAGATCATATAAACGCATTTACAATAGAAATCAGTGAAAGGGCTTAAGCTTATCATATAGAAACCTCAAAAACGCTTCTTTTGTATTCGATTGAAGCATCAAAACAGAGACTTTATCAAAGAACAAAAACAAAAGTTTAAACCTTTATGAGCTTAACACTATAAACAGAGAGTCAGTTGAATTTGAATCCTGAAATTCGATCACAAACTACACAAAATCTGTTTATAACCTTTCGATTTAAAAATCAAGTGATACAAAATCAAACCAAAGAAGACAGAAAAGCCAAAAGAAACCCATCAAACAAACGACACGTTTCATCACCTTAAAGCTTCCAAATTTAAACAAACAGATGTAACACCAATCAAACCATTCTACGTAAAAGCTCAAACACAAAAGGCAAAGCCGTAAGAACAACAAGAACCTAGCTAAACCGGAAATCGAAATAGACCCATGTCAAAATCACAAACATCAAAAACATGTATAGAAACTTCAATAAACTAAAGCAAGAAGCAATAAAACTTACTCTGCTCTCGATAAGATTAACTTCATCGCTCGCAGCCATTGAAGCAAAATCTCCCCTTTTTTGTTGTTGTTATTATCTTTAATCAAAACAAGACTAGATACACACGAAAATCCAGATCGAATTCAGTTAAAAAGGATGAGAATTTTCCAGTCAATAAGCGAAAACTCGTGTCTTGATTTATGAATTTTTGTTTCTAGAAATGGAATATCTCTGCTTTTGAAAGAAAAAAAAAACTCCAGATCAAAATGAGGTTTAATAGCTTTAAAACTGGCATAAACAAAAGGCTTAAAAGAAAAGATATATATTCCACCAAGAGGTGGAGGATAAGGAATATCTCTGCGTATTTTAGCATTGATACGAGTGCAGTAATCTAACGTGCGCTCTTAAGTCGGACGCGTCGATGGTAGAGTAGGCAGAGTGTGATGACTATTGTGTGGGGGCCCTCAAAAGAAAATTATCAAAAAGTTCTTAACTTTATTTAATTTTTGTTTTTCTTAAAAATAATACTTCCTCCGTTTAACGAAAATTAATTTTTCTTCTGTTCCAA